GAAATAATCTACTATCTGTCCTATATCTAACTCGCAACATGGGGTTCGCTGTGCTCATTAATGCGTCTAAGATGTCCTTCGAATGCCCCACTGGTACCCCACTGTTTGTAGCCAGCATCAGCAACTCGAATGCTGCATTCCTGGATGGTTCTACTGTTGCATTAACTGAATATGCGTCTGCAGCTGCGACTCTGCCCCTAGACTTCGACCTATGGCACAGGAGGCTCGCTCACCATCACCTAGAAGGTATTAAGATGCTTATAAGGGAGAAGCTCGTCACTGGGATGACCATAGAGTCGAAATCTGCACCAGATCCTATCTGCGAACCATGCCTAGCTGGCAAGATGCACGCAAACCCCTTCCCTACTTCTGAATGGCGCGCTTCCAGGCCTCTCGAGCTCGTCCACACCGACGTGCACCAAGTCCCTCACCCCAGCTTCTCAGGATTTCGCTATTGGGTGTCCTTCATAGACGACTACTCCAGATTCAGATTTGTCTTGCCCATCAAAGCAAAGTCTGATGTCTTTGAGGCCTTCAAGACATTCAAGGCTTATGCTGAGAACCAGTCAGAGCGAAAAATCAAGATCCTGAGGGACGACAAGGGAGGGGAGTACATGAGCAATGCTTTCTTGCAGTTCACCAACTCCTGCGGCATAGAGCGCCAGCACACAGTCCGAGCACGTCCTCAGCAGAATGGTGTTGCAGAGCGAGCCAACAGGCTGCTCTCTGAGCGCATCACCACCATGCTGGATGAAACTGGCCTACCTAAAGCATTCTGGGGCGAGGCTCTAGGTGCCCTAGTGCACGTGTGGAACAGATGCCCCACAAGCGCAGTGAAAAGCACCACTCCCTACTGAACTGTGGCATGGAAGGAAGCCAGATGTCTCCCATCTTCGAGTCTGGGGTTGCACTGCCTATGTGCACGTGCCAGAAGGACAAGAGAGAAGGACTTGGATCTCACATGGAGAAATGCGTGTTCATTGGGTATCCTCAGGGCTACAAGGGCTGGAAGTTCTACAATACCACTACTAAGAAGACAGTAATATCAGAACGAGCTGATTTCGATGAAAGATATTTCCCCCTCTCGAAAGCGCCCTACTGAGCCTTCAATACCAGTCCCTACTGCACCTACACCTTGCACCAACTCGCCCTACTGTCCCACCTATTCCACAGACACGAAGGACATTCCCAATACCTGACGATTCAGATGCTGATGATGAATCCAGCTCTGATGAGTATCAGGATCATGGGGGGAGCAATGGTCCTCCAGATGCGCCTCCTGCTGCCCCTGTAGTCCCTAATATTGATCCAGATCCTCCTCAAGTCCGAGCCTCGTCTCCAACTCCATCCCCACCACCATCTCCACCTCCTAGACCGCCCTCGCCCATTGGCATTGGAGCCAGACTGCCCAGGCGCAATAGAACCAAGCCTAGAGAGTGGTGGAAGCTATCTCCAGCCCAACTACACTCTGATGTCGACGATGAGATCGAGGACGCGGATCTTGGCCATGAGATTGTTCTCTCTGCAGCTTCACCAGCTGAACCCCTGTCCTACTCCGAAGCTCTGAAGCGCCCTGATGCGGAGCAGTGGAAACAAGCTGCCATGGAGGAGCTGAACGCCCACAGCATCAATGGCACTTGGCAGCTCGTCCCCAGACCTGCTGGAAAGAAGGTCATAGGCTGCAAGTGGGTGTTCAAGGTGAAGCGCAATGCAGACGGATCTGTGGAGCGCTACAAAGGCAGATTGGTGGCCAAAGGCTATAATCAACGACCTGGCTTCGACTACCTCGAAATATTTGCGCCCACAGTCAGAATGTCCAGCATAAGAGTTGTCCTAGCCATGGCCGCCATTCACGACCTCCACCTGCGCTCTATAGACATATCTCATGCCTACCTCAATGGGGAGATGGACTGCGACGTCTACATGGAGCAGCCTGAGGGATTTGTTGAAGGAGATGCCAAAGAGATGGTTTGCTTGTTGAAGAAGAGCATATATGGCACCAAGCAAGGAGGCAACAGATGGAACCAGAAAATGCGCTCTGTGCTCGAGTCTTTGGGCTACACTCAGTCCTACTCGGACGCGTCCATCTACATCTATCTAAAGGACAATGTAAGGATCATTCTGCCAGTCTTCGTAGATGACATGACCTTTGCCTCGAAATCTGCTGCTGCCATCGACCGCACCATCAAGGAGCTCTCCCAGCACTTCAAGCTTCGCGATCTCGGTCCCACCACTCAGCTTCTGGGCATTCAAGATAGACAGAGACTGGTCTAAACACTCCATCACCATATCTCAACAGCAGTACTGTCTAGACATCCTCGAGCGTTTTGGCATGGCTGATTGCAAGCCCATATCCACTCCCATGCAGCCCAACCTTCGACTCAGTCGCTCCCAGAGTCCCCAGACGCCTGAAGAGGTCCAGCTCATGAAGACCGTCCCATACCTGGCTGCAGTAGGCGCCCTGATGTACCTGGCAACAACAACTCGACCAGACATTGCCCACGCTGTTGGTTATCTTGCCAGATTCAACTCGAATCCAGGATTAGCTCACTGGCAAGCTGTCAAGCACCTGCTTCGCTATCTCAGAGGTACTGCCGACTACAAGATCACTTATGCGCCTGATCCATCAAGCACCGAACTGTTCTCAACCTATTCCGATGCTGATCATGGTGGATGCAAGGACACAGGGCGCTCCACTGGTGGATACTTGGTGAAGATTGGCTCTGGAGTCGTCTCGTGGTCTTCTAAGCTACAAAGCATTGTTGCGCTATCTACTACCGAAGCAGAGTACATCTCTGCAGTCTCAGCAGGCAAGGAGATCCGATGGATGCGAAACTTGCTGCAGGAGATGGGATTCTCCACCACTGCACCATCCATACTTAGAATAGACAACCAGAGCGCCATATCTGTTGCCAAACACCCAGAACACCACGGGAGGATGAAGCAACTGGATCTTAGTTGGTATTGGCTCAGAGACGTTGTTCACAAAGAGATAATTGCGCCTATCTTTGTGCCCACAGCTGATCAGCCAGCCGACATCTTGACAAAGTCTTTGAGTCGACCCAAGGTGGAACTATTTTGCAGAATGATGGGACTACACAGATGAGGGGGGAGTTGTTAGAGATTAGAGATGTGTTCAGTCAGGGGGGAGTGTTAGTTGTGTGGTGACTTCACACTAGATAGGTCGAAGACTTCTAAGACTTCGAAGACTTGAAGGACACTTCAAGGACATTACTATATTAGTAGATAACTTCGAGGACTTCGAGGACACTTCAAGGACATTACTATATTAGTAGATAACTTCGAGGACTTCGAGGACTTCGAGGACACTTTGAGGACAGACCTCTAAGACACTTCGAGGACACATACCATACTAGGAATTGTTTATATTTGTTTACATAGACTCGCCCATAGTGCAGAGTTCACAAGTCTTACATGCTTCGTGCATTGACTTTGAACTCTCAGGTACAGTACTTTACTTATTTACACAATAATATCAAGTGCATTGACTTTGAACTCTCAGTTCTTCTAACAGGAGGGTGAGATTTTGAATATTGCATGATGTGTATTGAGTTTGGAAGAAAATCCCTTCTTCATCAGCCAAGCTAGCAGTGTAGACCACCTGCTTTGTGTGCTCTTTGCGCAATGACTGTGGTTGCCATGCATTGAATCAATTCTGGGGTTGCTCACTCGATGATCTCTGCTGTCAACATGACGTCCGCTCGTTCATTGTAGAACTTCGCTTGCTCTGGTGTTAAGGGTCGTTGATGCATTTGTAAGTTAAATGTTGTGTTATCTGGTACATTCAAGTTCAGTGTTGCTCCTGGGATTGGAATCACCTCTTTCAATATTAGTGCAAAGTTGTCTGCATTCTCTCTTACAAATCTCTCTAACTCTTCTCTTTCCTCTGCCATTATGTCTTCTCCAAATTTGACTTGTCATATGATTTTTTTGACTCTTGCTGGGTTGAAGGGATCTGTTGATGTGTGTATATTGATGTGTCGCTCTTTGCTGGTTCTAATTCTGGGATTTCTCCTAACAGTTCTTCTTCATTCAGTGCTTCTTGTGGGATTAGCACATTGATGTCTGTTATGCATGGTGTTGAGGTGTTTGTATCAATGTGCATTCGTTGTACCAGCAATGAGACTATCTCGACTTCCCTCGAGGGGAGTTTCTCACTCCCCATTATTTTTTCCTGCTTTGCGCTTTTCTCTCTCTGTCTAACTCATAGTCTTGTAGGTCTCCATTGTCCCATCGGGATGCTTGATGGTTTTGTACTGTCTTCTGGGATTTGCTTATTCTTCTGTGTGCCGTCTGCTTGCTGTTGTTTTTCATCTAGCATCAAATTGACTTCGTCTCCTCTCTGCAACATTTGTTGGTCTGTTATTTGGTTGCTGAGTGATACAGTTTGTGTTTGATCCATTATTTGAATTGTGTCTGACGTGTATTCATGAACTACTGCAAATGCTTGAAGCATCGGTTTTCCAAACAAAAAGCCCCAGCTTCCTCCGCTGTCAAAGACTTCAAACATACTCTGTGCTTTGGTGCCTTTGATTTGAATGGTTCCTGTCCATTTTGCAACCACTCTGATGATGTTTCCATTCACCATTCTTAGTTGTCTCTGTGATTTGCTCCAATTATGCAGTCTGTTTAATCTTCTCAAAGACTGATGTGCACATTGCACTGACCATGGCACCATCACCAAACAGCACTCTAACCCTGACCAACTCTCCTTTTGGACCTTCTAATTCTATCTGATGAATAAACAGGATCACTTCACCACTCTCTAGCTGCTTTCTTGTGGTGCGTGGGTATCCAACTGAGTACAGATCAATAATCTCGATTGTGTCATGATGTTTGATAGTACATGTGGCATTCCTAGCTATGTGCTCAGCTGAGACTATTGGTCCTGCTTTTGTCCTCGCACATCGCCTTTCTGCATGTGAGGACCTCTACTCTAGCTTGGGTATGTTCCTTGTTCTGGGTCGTATTGTTCTGTTCTACACCGACCTGTCTGCTTTTCCCTGCTGCTCTGGAATCTCTTCAATCCACGCTTGCATCTCCTCATATTCACTGTTCATGACGAGTGCTATGGGTGTTGCTGTTGCTCTGTTGTGTGCACCTAATACTTTGCTGGTGATTGCTTTCCACGCTAACTCCTTATGTATTAGCCATTCCCCATGGTCAACCAGTAATGGGCAGTTTCTTCCATTGTGCCCATGGGTTCCACAAGCAAAGCACTCACTGGACACAATGGCTGCTATATCCAGCTTTAGTGGGTATTCTGTCTCTTGCATAACCCATGTGTTCTCTCCCCATGTCACATTCCACTGTGAGAGTTGCGCTGCATATGCGGCTTGTCCCATTGCATTGTCTGGGTGGTGCAGTGATGCTTGGATCAACTGTCGGATCTTGGTTTTCAACTCCTCTGTCACCATCAATGATTGCTGCATTGTATTGGTTGGCGGCTGTATGTAGGTTGTTGGATCTGATTGTTGCGTGTCACCAGTGCTCGTGTGTACATGTTGTTGCTGAGGGCTGTGGTTGGTGCTGCTGCCAAGTTGAGCAATACTTTGCTGAATTGATTCTGTAGGGCTTTGATTGGGTTCTGTGCTGCTGGCCCCGTTTGCACTCGAGCTAAGTCTGCACGCAATGCTCTGAGCTCTTGAGCTTGTTTGGCATGCTGTTCTTGCTTCTCTACTAGCCTGCTTCCTTTCAACTCTGTTACTGCTTTCGTGAACTCCTCACACTTCTTGTACTCCTTGTTTTTGAGCATATCCTTCACAATGTCTGGCAATTTGCTCTGTACTTGCCATATCATCGATGTGCTCTGGTCGATACCTGCATCTGTGGTGAGCTGTAATGCTTTCACTACCCATGCTACGTGCATCTAGCACTCTCTGTTGTATAGTGTTATCTTTTTCCCTACTTCTCCGCTTGGTAACATGTGATCCAACAATTCATTCTCATATTCTGCTTTTGTCTTCTCTGCTATGGTGATTGGTGGCCACCGCTTCTCAAACACTGTTACAGTATAGGACCGGTCGTTTACCCACCCCCATTCGTTTACCCACCTCAGGTAAAACTTTTGATTTCTTCATTTTTTTGTATCGACATATAGAAAGTAATTAAAGATGAGGCCTCAATGGATATTGCTATAGTATATGATGGATGTGCAATGTCTGCGATGTTGTGCACGACACAAATTAGTTGTTTTTTTCTTCCTCAGTGAATTCTATTCAGAGCAATAGTAGATCAATAAATTTTTTAAAGAAAAAGTGGCTGGTATGATACAAAGTATATACTTCAAACATCATTTTCACCTGCAACAGATTTGTGCAAGTCTCCTTTGTTCCTTCTACAGAGTGGATATATTGAACACAGGTAGTTTTTGAAGGTCTTATCTTAGCGAGTGTGTCACACGTAGCTGTCACGCTTCCCAACTCTAAACTCGTAAAGCAATATATTGTAATTTGTGTCACTAAAAACCATGGTAGGACGAGCAAAATCTCATACAAAAAAAAGGCAGATTCTACGAGAAGAAAATGACATGATCATGGCTCGGGCAGTGGCTATTTACCAGGCCGAGCTTGCAAAGGAACCCACAGAGGACAAAAAAGGACGACGAACAGTTTGCCGTGAAGTCGAAAAGGAATATCTTGTGGAGACAGGAAGAGTCATCAAACTCAATGACAGCACACTTGCGAATCTGGCAAAAGGTGGTAGGAGGCTTAGTGACTTCAATGCAGAGAAAGGTTGGCTCACCCCAGAGGAGACGGAGAGAGTAATAGAGTATTCTGTCGAGACGGCACGGCGAGGATTCCCACTCAGCCACAAACGACTCAAGGAGCACGTTAATGAAATTCTTCACACTCGACTTGGTGACAAATTTCCCGAGACAGGTGTCGGCAAAAATTGGACAGATCGTTTCATCGAGAAGCATTCAAATAGGCTGGGCACCTACTATGCTCGAGGTCTTGACAGTGCCCGTGGCCGTGCTGTTAATCCAGCCACCAAAAATGCCTATTTCAGTCTTCTGCATGATACATTGTCAACAGGAGATAATGGCAAACCAATCGAGCCTCATTGCATTTGGGCATTTGACGAGTCTGGTTTCCAAGGAGCTGATGAGGGGAAGGAGCGAGTGATAGGAGCGAGTGGTGTCCATACCGTGTACGAGCAGCAAAGTGGGAGCAAGGAGCTGACAACTGTAATTGTCAGCATCTGTGCAGACGGAGAGACTGCACCACCATGTGTTATCTTCAAGGGAAAGGGTTATCGCACAAACTGGTGTCAAGAAAACCCTGCAAATGCATCGTAAGCACCCTCGGCTGTTAACCCTAATAATTCTACTAAAACGGTCCTTTAGCCTTGGATATTCAGCCAAAGGCTGGACTGATGGCGAGCTCGGAGTACTTTGGATCCAACACTTCGACGAACATACTCGAGACAAAGCCAATGGCTCTGCACGGCTTCTCCTTGTTGATGGTCACTCGTCTCACTACACACGTGCTTTCTTAGAATATGCACGCACACATAACATTCACGTCTTGTGTTACCCATCCCACAGCACCCACATCTACCAGGGTCTCGATGTTGTTGTATTCAGCAGACTGAAAGCTTGCTGGGCAGAGGAGAAAGCCCGGTGGCAAAGGGAACGCGGCGAAGAGCTTTCGAAGCAAATTTTTTAGCTATCTATGGATATGCTCATAACCGTGCACTCACAACAGAACTCGTCAAAGCTGCATTCGAGAAGACAGGGGTCCACCCGTTCAACCCAAATGTTGTCACGGAGGATGTCATGGCACCAAGTCAGGAGACATCATGCCGTGGTCACCTGCCACTCATCCAAACAACACCAGTTCGCCTCGTGTCCCAATTAATTCGCAGGGCAACAGAAGTGTTATCTAGTCCAGCACGAACCGAGTCAGACTCGAACCAAGATTCATTAATTCCACAACCCTTACCTTTGACTCCGTCACATGCAGAGCAGTTTCCGTGGCATGAATCTGCACGAATGACAGTCAATAGCTTGGCTACAACATCCGCAGCATTCCTGTTTACCTTGAGTCCTGTCTGCTCGACATCTCGAGTACCTATGTACATGCCACAGATAGTATCACCGCTGCAGTACAAACGGTACAGAAAAATTTTAGACTGTCCTCCGAAAACCGAGGCGGAGCACGAGCTACAAGTTGCTTTGTGGGAGTCAGAGCAACGCGAGGAGGAAACCAAGCGCCAAATGATTGGCTTACAGGCAGCATCTGTCCTACAGATCCAATACTGTGATCGAGTACGTGGTCAGCTTGCAGCACAAGAAGAAAAAGCAGGGAGGAAGAAGGGTACAAGGCTCGTTGGTGATGGCTTACCTCATATGCTCACTGGTGATGTCTTCGTGGCACAGGTTATCACACACGAGAATGCGATGGAGGCAGAAGCTAGAGATAAAGAGATGAGGGCCAAGAGAAGGGCAGAACGTTCTGAAGAACTCGCACATTGGAAGAGAGAGGAGATAGAGCGGAAAGAACGAAACAAAGCAACAAGAGCAAATTTCGAGGCACAGAAGGTTGAGTGGGAGGCAGAGCGAGATTTGGCGAAGTTGGAGAAACGGAGGCCACGGTGGAACAAACCAAAGATGGGAGAGATTGAGAAACCTGTGTCGAGGCCAGAGCAAGTTCAGCCAGAGGTTTATGACAGCGAGCAAGAAGATGATGATGGAGAAGAAGAAGGTTGACGAGCGTGTGTTTTTGTTTAATCTCGCATCAATGTCGCATCATCTTATCATTGCCTTATTGAATTACAAATTTACGGCGCGCTGTGTGATGTGACATCAAAAATTACTAAAACGAGGTGGGTAAAGGACTTGTGAAGTCAAAGATAAGGTTGTTTTCAATGATTTTGCTGCGACACACCAGCATCGTCACCGATAGCTCTAAATTTCGAATCACAGTATTTACATGTATGTTAGAGAATTACTGTCTATTACAATTTTCCAAAAAGAAAGCCAGTGTAAAGTGACATGCATTTCAATTTGTTGTGGGTAAACGACCGGTCCTATACTGTATGAACACTGTCCATGTGGCTTTGTCTGTGGACATAAGGGCTTTGGACTACCTTTTTGCCTGTGCGTTGGTTCTGAGGTAGTCAAATGCATCTAATTTGTTGTTGCTCTGTGTGATTGCCTGTTGCCGCATTGTGTGATTGAATGATTTCAGGAAATCTGCTGGGTTCTCTGCCGCACATCCATCTCCATGAAAAATCTGTGGAGTTTCTGTGTGCATGTCTCGTTTGGGCTGTGCTAACGTGAAAAATTTGGCTAAGTCGTAGTCTGGTGCTGTAGATATGGACATTAGTGGCTCCTTCTTTGTGTGACACTGTGGTGGCTGAAATCTGAGTGATGGTAGTCGAAAGTCTAGCTCTGGGGCTTCTAGTTCTGGGAATGGTACTTGGTTCTCTTCCTCCTCAAGGCTACTCAGCGATGAACTGCTAGAGTGTTTCAGTGTGCTGTGTACAGAGGGTTCTGGTGTATTAAGTGGTGAGGATGTTGCAGGCTATGACTATGATCTAAAACTGTGTGCTAATGTAAATTTGGGTCAATTCAAAATTGCTCTGTTCACTACATTGGACTAGTGCTAAGACAAGAAGAACAAGCTCTAGGAAGGGTGTGTGTTGCAATGATGTACTACGAACAGCACTGGCTGCTTCTGTCAGTAGCTGACTAAGCTAAGGAGATCGCCAAGGGACTGCCTCTAAGCTATGAATATTGCTAATGGACTGTCTCTGGTCTATGCCTTAGGACCTCTGATCCACCATGGATCATAAATATACAATTGTGCATATACTGGCTGCCAACCCTCTGTAGGTATAAGATCTCCAATTTGATGGCTCAGCTCTCCATGAATACAAAACACATACAACCCTCTACTATTGTTGACTTGGTGATCAATATTGACACCAAGAGACATGAATGCAAGTGCTGCATTGTACTGCTGTATGTTAGTTCGAAACTCAATGAGTTTGTGTTAGTTGTGTGGTGACTTCACACTAGATAGGTCGAAGACTTCTAAGACTTCGAAGACTTGAAGGACACTTCAAGGACATTACTATATTAGTAGATAACTTCGAGGACTTTGAGGACACTTCAAGGACATTACTATATTAGTAGATAACTTCGAGGACTTCGAGGACTTCGAGGACACTTTGAGGACAGACCTCTAAGACACTTCGAGGACACATACCATACTAGGAATTGTTTATATTTGTTTACATAGACTCGCCCATAGTGCAGAGTTCACAAGTCTTACATGCTTCGTGCATTGACTTTGAACTCTCAGGTACAGTACTTTACTTATTTACACAATAATATCTCGTGCATTGACTTTGAACTCTCAGTTCTTGTTAGTTGTGTGGTGACTTCACACTAGATAGGTCGAAGACTTCTAAGACTTCGAAGACTTGAAGGACACTTCAAGGACATTACTATATTAGTAGATAACTTCGAGGACTTCGAGGACTTCGAGGACACTTTGAGGACACATACCATACTAGGAATTGTTTATATTTGTTTACATAGACTCGCCCATAGTGCAGAGTTCACAAGTCTTACATGCTTCGTGCATTGACTTTGAACTCTCAGGTACAGTACTTCACTTATTTACACAATAACATGCTTCGTGCATTGACTTTGAACTCTCAGTTCTTCTAAATAGGTTATGAGCCCTGCGCTTTAGCAGTCAAATCTGTCGCTGGAGTTCACTGTCTTTGGGCCAACTTAGTGCGCATTTTCCCTCCTCTCGCATCCAGCCACTGGTGCTCTCCCCACCCATTATTCCTTGCTCTCTTTGTTGAAAATCAGCAAAGACAGCCTTTCCTTCGAATTCTACCAAGCCC